AAAAAGCCATGCGGAGCAAGCCAGGGAGAGGCTTTCCTTCACAGTTTCTGATTCAATTCCTGCCTCCCAGACATCCCTTACTCATGGATTATAAAATATAAGCTGAAATAAACCTTTTCCTCCCAAAATTGCTTTTGATCTTTAGCACAGCAGTAGAAGTTGAACTAAGACACCCTGTGCCAAAACAAACAAACAAACACAAAGGGCAAGTAATTTATCCAGCAAGGAATTTGTACTTAGACCATATTGAGAAATCAGGCTGGAGAGACGGCTCACGCTGCTCTTCCAGAGGATCTGAGTTCCACTCCTGGCACCCAACAGGTGGCTCACAACAACCTTCAACTCTAGTTCCAGGGGATCCCAAACCACTGGCTTCTCCTAACATACCCACACACAGACACACAAAAGACAGCATGGCAGTGGTGGTAGGGTGTTGCTGGAGAGATGGCTCAGAGATTAAGAGGACTGTCTGCTCTTCCAGAGGTCCTGAGTTCAATTCCCAGCAAACGCATGGTGGCTCACCACCATCTATAACGAGATTTGGAGCCCTTTCTGACAGTCAGGCAGAACACTGTGTACTAATAAGTAAATAAATCTTAACAAAAACAAAAAACAGACCTTGTGGGAAAATGGGCAAAGAACCTCACTAGACATTTCCCCAGAAAATAGAGGCGATAAATAAGCACAGGCAATGGTCACCATCATTACTAGCCACAAGAGCAAGTCAGAATGACAAGTACATCCATCTTTGCAGCCTCTAGAATGGCGACAGTCAAAAGTCAGTTAATACAAGTACTGGTGCATTGCAGGGCTCGGTGAGAAGTGTAAACCAGTTAGGAAAACAGTGGGGCAGGTCCTCAGAGGTCAGATACAGAACTACCCCCAAGTGTTCACGTTAAAACCCATACACATGTTCGCAACTGAAGCACTTTCAAGAGCCAAAAAGCAGAAATAATCAACACAACGAGGCACATCCATGTAACTAAACATTGTTTGCTGGGGACTGGAGAGATGGCTCAGTCCCAAACTGGTCCAGAGGGCTTGGAGCCCACTCCTGAGGTTTGGTTCCCCGCGCACACATCGGTGGCTCACATGCCTGTACCTCCAGTTCCAGGGGATCCAACGCCCTCTCCTGGCCTTCTCAGGCACTTGTACACACATGTATATATACATATAAGTGAAAATAAACTGTAAAATATTGTGGGGGGGGTCCTAGAGAGATGGCTCAGTGGTTAATTTAAGAGCACTGTCTGCTCTTCCACAGAATCCGAGTTCAATTCCCAGCACCCATGGTGGCTCACAACCATCTGGAACTGCAGCTCCAGGGGATCTAATGTCTGCTTCTGGCCTCCAAGGGCACCAGGTAGGCCTGTGCTGCACTGCCATCACACAGGCCAAACACCAGCATGCATAAAATCAATTCATTAAATAATTAAAAGTATATTTTTTTGGGCCAGGCATGAGGGTGCACAGCTTTAATCTTGTTACTTGAGGAGGCAGAAGCAGGCGGATCTCTATGAGTTCAAGACCTCTGATCTACATAGAGATTTCCAGCACCCCCTCTCACCACAAAAAAGATGGAGTCTAAAATGAGAAATATAATTTGGGATTATACAAGTATGCCTCCCCAGTGTAATATTGTGAGTTTTAAAGCAGACACCCTTCCCTGGCTGAGTCAGAAACAGTACCCAGGTAAGAGCAGAAAAGATTCTCTCAACTCTCCATCCAAGCCTTGAAGACAAGGGGCCCCAGGACAAGGAACTTCCAAACTGAGAACAGTTCTCAGTAAAAGCCAGGAGGGAAATTGGGGATTCTTCAGATCACAAGTCTGTGCTGGGAGCAGAACATGGCTGAAGCAAGGCATAGCAAGAAAATGGCTTCTGTACACAGGAGCTCAGCCCTGACCCCTGTAGCCAGACCAGGGGCAGCAGTAACCTAATGGATCTATGTTGTTTAAACATGGTACCCTATGCTGGCAGCAACAGAGAACAAAATCATCCCTGCTTTACGGAGCCGACCTTGAAACGTAACAAGCCATTGGGAGGTTTCTCATCCGGAAGGAGAATGTCTACCCACGGCTGAAAAACGTACTCCACCTGTTCCCTCCTCTCCCTTCCTCCTCCTCCCTCCTCTGTGAGAAACAAGGAGCCAGCAAGCAGAGCCGACTTGGGGCATGGTGCCTGAAAATAGAAACTGCGACGTGATTTTATTTCTAACTCCATAGACAACTCTGTGAGTCATTCATCTCCCTGGGTTTCACTTTCCATGTCTGCAAGGCAAGCTGGGTTAATCCTGACTCCTGCTCACCCAGCATGCTGTGTGGTGACTAGGAGGCAAAGTCCCCACAGATGTGCCTTGTAAACAGCCCTGCCGTCTTCCTTACCCAGTGCAAGAGAATCCAGATGCGATCTGACCACAAGAACTGCCCCCTCAAGGGGCACTTTTTCTCCTTCCCCCTGACTTCCTCCACGGAGCTTTGAGCACACCTTGTGATATGGATTGGGTAGTAGCAGCTAGCGCAGAGATGAGAAACTCCAGGCAGGCAGAGGGGCTGGGACCAATCCCAAAGCCCACACGGACAAGGTTTCCAGGGGTGATTTGGGGAAGCAGTGCTCTCATACCTAGACAATTGGGGTTTAACGCGACCAGATTGTTTCTATGAAGAAAGTCAAGAAATCGTTCACATCACACCAGAAGGCACAGGGGTAGGGTGGGATGAGAGCGGAGTGAAGATGAGAAAGGGGAAATTAGAGAGGTGGGTCAGTGAGTACAGTGACTGCCGTGCAGGTGTGGGACCCAAGAAACCCTACCACCTATGTAATAAAGCTAGGTTCAATGGTATATGGCCTGACACCCAAGCACTGAAGATAGAACAGCCAATTCCGCAAGCTACAGGTTCAGTGAGAGACCCTAACTAAAAAAACAAAACAAAACAAAACAACAACAACAACAACAAAAAACATCAAAAAACATATATATATATATATATATATATATATATATATATATATATAGTGTAGGAGCTAGAAAGGTGGCTCAGAGGTTAGGGCAACTTGATGCTTTTGCAGAAGACCCAGGTTCAGTTCCCAGTACCCATGTGGGTGCTTAACTTCAGGGGATGTGATGTACCAGCTACATCTAATAGGTACCAGATACACACGAGGTGCGAGCAAAACATTCCTATATATAAAATAGAATAAGTGCAAAAAAAAAAGGTATAGAAAAATAAAGGAAGACACCTGATCCTGACCTCTGGCCTCCACAGGTGCACATACAACATGCAGACAGACACACAGACACACATAGGGAAGGAGGGCGGAAGCAATTCACGGTAATGTGGGAGCAACGTTCCTGAAGAGAAGGTCTGATGACGGGCTTGTCCTTCCCCAGCTCCCTCCCCACCACACAGGAGACACACCTGTGTTTCTTACCAAGCTGGTCACAGCTAAACTGGTTTGGGGGTATTTTAAAAGATGTCTTCAAGGTAAGCGGAGATGATTCCCTAAGATGAGCTCACAGAGATCTGGGAAGTATCTCTTCCACTCATCTTAGCCTCTGGGCACCTGCCCACCCCAATCTGTACTTTCCCTGGCCCTGGCTGTGTCTCACAGGACTAGGGAATATGGAAAGGGCTCTAGGCTAAGAATCTTGACATCAGCTAAGTTCAGTCTGGCTGAGCCCTGCCTTCGACCCTCCTGCTTACTTCCAGAAGGTGCCTGGCATGGCCCACCTCAGACTCCACCCAACGTGACCTCGATCCTGGCTGAGGCTCGGCAACCCTCTGAAGGCCTCCTGTGACTCCTGGGTTGACAACAGGGGGCCACCTCCCCTTAGCTCCCTCGCTTCCTGGACCCTCCTTGCCCAGCATCCCCCTTGATAATCCCGCCCATTCGCCTCACTTGATCCTTCTGGTCCTGCCAAATTCCCCCTGATAGTGCCTGGCACTCCTAACTGGAGAGCAACCAGCATGAAATAAAAGGCTGGTTCATTTTCTCCCCTCTCCATGGCTTAGAGGTGGCCATGCAGCCTTTCTGTCAGTGGTGTGGCTGGGAGGACCGTCTAAAGAGCTGTTAAGAGCTGTGATGCTCCAAGAGGAAAGAAGAATGGGCACCCTCATCCAGGAGGCGGCCCTGGGCAGCCTGGCAGGTCAATGAGGGAACACCCCTGCCTTCATTAGCCCAACGATGCTTGGGTCCTGCTGAGATAAGGGCCACAAAGGGAAGGAGCAGCTATGTCTTCAGGAGTTATGGGGGATGCTGCAGGGTTAGAATAAAGATGGGCATGAGGTTGGGGGCAGGGCACCAAATGGGTAGGGGTGGGATGGAGCCAAGAGCTGAGATGTCTTTTAAACACCTGGTACTCTTTAGCGAGAGCCGTGTTATACTTCCTGTCTTGCTTAAAGCCACACAGGCACAAGCTGAGCCTAATCATTTGACAGTTAATTTTCAGCCACAACATCCACTACCTTAACTGTACAGAAGAACACAGAGTCCTGAGACCAGGTAAGTTAGGGGGTGTCAGATCTGGAACTGACTGGTGAAGGTGGGCGAGAGTGTGCAACCCTCCCCCCAGCGTTTAACTCATTCCTTTGGGTACTGGAATACCCAGTGGACCAATTATTCAGTACAGATGGGGAAACGTGAGTTCTGGGGAAGGCGGGGGAAGTGGACGGGGGTGGAGGTTGAGGGTGGAACCTGTTTCAGGTTCCTGACTACAAACCATAGACACTGCTCATCCTTTGAATCGCCTCAACTACACAACCACTATCTCTACCCCTAGCATCTTAAAGGCACATGCGCGTCTCCGTGCAGCAGGGAAGCCCCGCCACCAACAGTGTGACCCAGAGGGACAGGGATGCCAGTGAGGCAAGAGCCCAAGAAGAGCAGCTGTAAGTTAGGAAAGCACTCGGAGGCCCCGCCTCCTCCGTCGCGCTGGCGAGCTAGGGGGCGTGTCCAGGTCCCAGGCTCCGCCCTCCCTGCGCGCGCTTCGCTCCAGGCCCCACAGTGCGCGCTCCTGGCGCCGGGGTGAGCGCGGCGCGGGGCCGCGGTGGCCTGAGGCCTGCCCGCTGGGCTCTGATGCTGCGCGCCCTGACCTTCTTCGGCATCTCGGGCTGAACTTGGCCTTGAGTCCTCGGCTCTCGCGCGCGCCCGTGTGTGAAGCGCGCACCTGCGGAAGACGAGGCGCGGCAGGGGGTTGCAGGTCCCCGCCCCCGCGCCTGCCACGCGTCGCGCTCAGCCAGCCCCGGCCACTTCCCGCAGGAGCGAGGTGAAGTAAGCTGCACAACCCCCACCCCTCGCTTGCTCTGGGCTGCGCACTTCTTGCATCTGTCGACACGCCAGCCAGCGGCCACGGGGGTAGCTCGGGGCCCACGGTGCTCGCCGGAGTCACCGATCCTCCTGATCCTCCTTCCGCACGCTCCTCCTTCCGCGGAATAAAGGCGTCGTCACCCTACTCCACCCCTGCAGGGCCTGGGGATGCGGTGCAGTTAGGTGGCGGGCCAGTAGGAGGCGGCCAGGCCCCTTTCCGGGCAGCCCTGGGGTCCCAGCGCGCCCATGTCCCTGGGCTTCCTGGAATGTGCTAGCCGGTGCTTTCCCAGTGCTTAAGCTTTGGCAGTTGCTATCGCACGAGCATTTTCTGCATACCGACCCAGCATATTCTTTTCCAGAGGCATGGGGCCTCTGAAAGTCGACCCTCCCAGCCTTGACCTCTTAACCAGAAGAACTGAAATTCCATACGGCTAATACAGTAGCCAGCCCACTCCCTCCATCGTGTCCCTTGAAAGGTAATCGGTTGGAAAACTAGGACCCCTGTGGTCTCTGAAGTAATGATGCACAATTTGCCCGAATCTTTGAGTTGATGAAGCTAATCTTTATTTGGGGAACACATCACAGAAAAGTGCCTGATTAAGAAGGGCATAGTGGTGCACACTTTAATCCCAGTACTTGGAGGGAGGAGGGAGAGGCAGGAAGATCTCTGTGAGGTTGAAGCCAGCATGTTCTACATTGAGAGTTCAATGCTAGTCACACAGTGAGACTCTACCTTAAAAACTGCTGTTTACCTTAAGCACGGCTGGTCTTTAAGAGTTTTGGATTTAACTTTTTTTTTTTTCTTTTGAAATACAAAACTGTTTAGCAGAAAGCAGCAAATTACTGTTGCCTGGTTTGGCTAGCTCAGGGACCATTTAAAGGGGAAAGACAAGATGGGCTGGTAGGGCCCACCCATTATTCCAGCATTTCTGAAACAGAGGCAGTGAGCCACATCAGCCTGGGCTACCTAGCCACACTCTTGTTTCAAAACCAAACCAAACCATAAAGGAAAATTATGAAAATTGCTGTAGTCATCCGTGGCCCAGGCCTCCCGGTGTGCCTGAGAGCAGCTGTTCTGGGTTGCAAGTCAGGAGAGCTCTTACACCATGTCCTCACAAAGTATTTTTTGTTCCCTGATCTGGTTTCTTCTGGCCAGCCATTAAAATGAGGTTGTTTACCCCCATTTTACAGCCAGGGAAAACAACCTAGAATTGAGCCATGGGTTTAGGGTTATACATTTACAGCTTGACTCTTTCTACTCTTGTTACTTATTTTCACCTAGGACAACATACATGTTCCGTAAGCACCAGACCTTTGAGCTACAGCCACAGCTTGTATTTCTTTAAAACTAATTTATAATTTTTAAAAGATTTGACTTTTTTGTGGGTATGAGTATTTTGCCCGCATGTGTGTAAGTATAGCACGTGTGTTCACCAAGGCTAGGAGAAAGTATGGGGTCTCCTAGAACCAGAGTTGCTGCCATGAAGAAGTGGGCAATCAAACCTGGGTCCTCTGGAAGAGCAGCATGTGCTCTTAACCACTGAGCCATCTCTCCAGCCCCACTTTGTGCGCACGCGCGCGCGCACACACACACACACACACACACACACACACAATGTTCACTTGCCTGTTGAGAACTGAAGAGGGAGCTGGGTCCCACAGAGCTGGAGTTATAGTCAGCTGCGTTGTTAGTGCAGGGAACTGAACCAGGTTTTCAGGGACAGCAAGCATGGTTGACTGCTGAGCAAACGCTCTGGTCCTCCCCCTCCCTTTGTGTTGATTTCATTTATTCATTGTGTGTGTGTGTGGTTGGGTGTTTATCTCCACGTGTCTCTTTGTACCCTACATGTGTGCCTGGAACCCTTAGGAGGCCAGGCAAGGACTGGAGTTGCAGATGGCTGTGAGCTGCCACGTACGTGCTAGGAATGGAATTCAGGTCCTCTGCAGGAGCAGCAGGCACCCTTAGTCACTGAGTCATCTCTCCAGCCCTGCTTTGAGCTTTCAGACAAAGTCTTGGTTTAGTTCCCGGCCTGGTCTCAGGCTCTCAGTTCTACCTCGCGTCCTGAGTTCTGGGGTTATAGATGTACAACCCCTGGCTGTCACACTCTAGTCTTCAGGTCAGATGGTAGAATTCTCAGGGCCCAAGAAGGGGCCATCCCAGCACCGTGCCTCTTCCATCAGTGCGGTCAGTTGGACCAGCTGAGCTCTCGTGATCCATGACATGTAGCTCTTCTGTATCGAGATGGTTCATCGGTTCCGAGGCATTGTGGGAAGTGCCTTCGTGGTGCCAGCGCTCAGTGGTAGAAGCATTTCCCGAGCGCCCACGGCCTGCCAAGCATTGTGCAAAGGCCCTTACATGGATCATCCTTGTATGTGCCTGTAAGTGCACTTGCTCTTCTGTTCCGTGGCTGAGGAACAAAGGCCTTGCTGTTGAGGCCACCCAGCTGTTGAGAGGCGCCAAGTGGAATCCCACATCGTATACTTAAAGCCTTGGCTCACAGGGCCTTTCCGGTTATACTAGGGCATTGACTCCATGCCCTCCGAATATCGGAAGGAGGGCGTGTGAATCACTGTTACACACATGGACATGGGGCTTGTTAGCAGAGACCATCGAGAGACCGTTAGTGTTCGGGTGACTCGGCAGGCCAGAGCAGTGCCCAGAGCTGGCTTGCCGTTTTGTCATTTGGGGGATATAACCACACATTTTCTTTCTTGGCCTTTTTTTAAAATTAAGATTTATTTATTTCTATTTCTATGTGTTTTTGTTTGCATGTATGTATGAGCACCATACATACATGTGGACAAGTGCCTGCAGAGGCCAGAAGAGGGTGCTGGATCCCCCAGGACAGGAGTTAGAGAGAGTTGTAAGCCACCAAGTGGGTGCTGGGAACTGAACCTGCATCCTCCGCAAGAACAGCCAGGCTCTTAACCACTGAGCCATCTCCCCAGCTCTTAGCCACGTAGTTTAAGAGGCATTGGAGGTTAGCTCTAAGTCCTGCCACCTGCGTTGTCTGACCTTCAGCAAGGTAGTTGACCTTCCTGTGTCTCAGCTCACTGCTACACAAATGGCTTATGACAGTTCATACCTCACAGAGTTGTGGCAAGCAAAAGAGGGTCTGCTACTTGCCATCTTCTAAGCCTAGTATTTGGCATATGGCATACACACCAAAAATAGCCACAGTGCTAATAGTATAGTTATAAGCAAGAAGCAGTTCCTGGCGGGTTGCAGCGTTGTGGTGCTCGGCGTGACCCTTACAGCCTATGGCTTCCATCACTCAGTCCTGGGCAACTTGTACACCAGGCTACGGTGATCCGGTGCAAATGGGATTTATTTGGCTGTTAGCAGATACAGCTGTTTGTTTGCCAAATGCCTGGCCCTGCTGTGGATGCAGGAGACCTGCAGTGAAGTGAACCAGTCTCTCCCAGTCCAGGTTGGACTTGACTTCCTGGGAGACCGGTGGCGGGCAGTGAGCAAGCTAAGCGTAATTCTCGCGCACTGTTGGGGAAGTGTCAGACAAAGGGCTGGCGGTAGCTCCGTTGGTGGAGTGCTTGCCTGGCGTGCACAGCACACCCAGCGCTGCTTAGGCCTAAACATGGTGGCACATACCTGTCATCCTAGGCCTCAGGAGACAGAGGGGGTAAGAGCAGAATTCATGGGTCTGCAGAGATGGCTCAGCAGTTACAAGTACTGGCTGCTCTTGCAGAGGACCTGGGTTCGATTCCCAGCATTCACATGGCAACACTCAACTGTATAATGCCCGTTCCAGGGTACCTGAAGCCCTCTCCTGGGCCCTGCAGGCCCCAGGTGTGCATGTGGCACAAAATCATACAAAACACCCACACATAAAATAAGTTCAGTGAAATTCAAGGTCACCCTCAGCTACATAGCAAGCTTGAGGGCAGCCTAGGATACAACCTGGACGGAAGAAAGGAAGAATTGAAGGAAGGAGGAAGGAAGGACTACAGAGAGGAATAGAGTGGGGAGGGGGAGGAGGCATGAGGTGGAGGTGGCAGTTTGAGTATTTTATAGCATTGTCTGAGAAGGCCTGACTGAGCAAGTGGTCCTGCTGAAGTGAGGTAATGCACCATGTGGGCACCTGAAGGGGAAACTAGGTCAGACAGAGAGAAGAGTCCAGTACAGGGCCCTGAGCCAGGAGGTCAAGAAATGATGGTGAGAAGTTCAGGTGTGTCAGCCCTTCAACAGACCTGTGAGCAGAGAGCTAGCATGACCCTACCAAGACTGAGAGGGTCACTCTGCTCCCCCACCCCCACCCCCTAGACTCAGCTCTGCAGGAGCCAGAGGAAGACAGAGGAGAGAGAAAGGCCTCTGTCTATAGATGTTGACAAAGGTGACAACAGAATAGACAGAGCTGGTGGGAAGTACTGAACTCCAAGTCTCTCTAACTTTTATCATGTTTGTGTGTGCTCCTGTGTGCGCTCAAGTGGACGTCAAAGGGCAGGAACGGGAGTCGGACCTCTCCTTCCACCCTGTGGTTTCTGTGGCGTGAACTTGGGGCATCAGGCTTGGTGGCAGACGCCTGCAGCTGTCCCCATATATAATTTGAAGTGGGCACTGGTATTTGCCAACAGACCAGACACCTCTGAGGTTTATGGTCGGAACATGGTCATGTTTCCTGGGACTTGTGGAAACTGCATTTGAAGCGAGTTGAGAGGTGTGGTGGGACATGCCTGTAATCATACTGCTAGGTGGTGCTAGAAGGTAGCAGGATGAGGCCAGCCTGTGCTACACAGAGATGCCCTCTCCCAAAAACAAAGAAACAAACCTGAAGAGGGGAGAGGAGGAGAACGGAAGGAAGGGGTGGGGAGGGGGAGGGAGGGATGACGTTAGATTCAGGGTAAATAAACCAGTTGGATTTGGATGTTTGGCCTAGTCAGCATTCAACTAAGGAACCAGAAGGTCAGAGTTTGGGTCCGTTGACTAACTCTGAAATCAAGGTGGGAAATTCCAAACTGAAAATCCAGGCTTGGTTACACGGGTAGCAACTGGCTGGTCAGTGTTGAACAGCTGCTGTGTAGGAGGTAGGGGCTGGGGAAGTTGATTTATGATCTTTGCCAATATCTGTGTTGTAGATGCCTCTCTATTCAACAATATCAGGAGCATATACGGCAGCAAAAAAAAAAAAAAAAAAAAAAGTGGGGGCTAGAGAGATGGCTCAGTGGTTAAGAGCACTGGCTGTTCTTCTAAAGATCCTGAGGTTCGTTTGTTAGTAAGCCTCCTTCCTTCCTTCCTTCTTTCCTTCCTTCCTTCCTTCCTTCCTTCCTTCCTTCCTTCCTTCCTTCCTTCTTCCCTCCCTCCCTGTCCCCTTCCTTCCTCCTTCCTTCCTTCTTTCTTTCCTTCCTTTCTTTTTCTGAGACAGACTCTCAAACTACTTGTATTACAAGCTGGCTTGAATTTCTGACCTCCCTGACTTCACCCCCCAGGAACTGGCTTACAGGGGTACATCACCAGACCTGGACTATTTAAGTAGTCTACTTAGTTAACATTTGTCCAGAATTCATTCTTTTAGATTTTTTATTAATTTTATTTAGTGTGTTACATGCGTGCACACCCATTCACTTGTCAAGACATGCATACGGAGGTGAAAGAGCACATTCAGGGAGGCAGTTCTCTCCTTTACCGTGTCAGTTCCATGATGCTTCTTGGTAGCAAGTGCATTTACCCACTGACCTGTGTCATCCACCTTGGGGGGCAGATGAGAGAAGGGGGGAGGGAGAGAGGGGAAGAGGGAAAAAGAGGGAGGGGGAAGAGAGGAGGGGGAGAGAGAGGTAGAAGGGAGGGAGAGAGAGGAGGAAAGGAGACAGAGACAGATTGTATTTTCTTGTTTGTTTTTTGATTTGGGAATCTTACTATGTATCCTAGGATGGGCTTGAACTTTCAGCAATTCCCCCTATCTTAGCCTTCTGACTGCTGGGATCACAGGCATGTGCTGTGTCATGCCTGGTTGTGTTGATTTTTGTCTTGTTTACTTTGGTTTGGGTCACATATGTCATCTCTGTTAATCTTAGCAACCCTTCCCTCCTCAGCCCTTGTCTCACTCTTAATTTTAAATCAGGGTCTCTCTAAGTTGTCCACCCGACCTCCATTTGTATTCCAAGCTTGCCTTGAGCGTTTTGACCCTTCCACCTCAACCTCTCAAGTGCTAGGATCACAGGCATGAAACCATGCCTGGCTTCAACCATGTTTTGTAGATGAAGTCAGGACTCAAATGGATTAAGTAGTTTCCCAGGGTTCTGTAGCTAGAGGGAGTGTTGAGCCCAGTGCTTGGGACCCAAAGTTAGTGCGGCAAGTTGGACTTTCTGACTTCATAATTCATTCATCCTTCCAGTCTCCTCAGCTGTCTTAGGAAAATCATGGCAGCGCAGTGGGGATGGCTGCATCGCCCAGCTCATGCTGGCTCCAGGGAAGCCATTTATGATAAGGAGATGCTGAGCTAAAGCATCTAAAGACTGGCTCAAGCAGGATTGTGCTGACTTGGTAATGGGACTAGGAGAGCAGGTGTTGGTTGTTGTTTTTTTTTTTTTTTTTTGCACGTAGGGGTGTTTAGCATGCGCCATGTGTGTTCCTGGTGTCTGTGGAGGCCCCTGAGATTGGGGTTACAAACAGTTGTGAACTGCCCTGTGGGTGCTGGGGCTCTAGCTGTGGGAAGGCCAGCCCTTGCAGCCACTGAGTCATCTCTCCAGCCCCAGGTGTATATGCTTTGAAGCCCTCTGTGCTCAGTGTTCTGGAGCCTTGCTACTCAAAGAATGCTCCTTGGACCCCGCCATCAGCTCCTTAGGCCTCTCCCTTCATCTTCTCCAGCAGAATCTGCACTTTAAACAGTTCACAGGAAACTCCGATACATGGTACAGTTTGAGCTGCGCTGTTAACAAACAGGATCATAGAACAAGTAACACATGTACCTCCCATGCCGATTCCAGGAAGAGTAGCTGTAGCAATCGCACTGTAAACAGCTCAGTGAATTACCCAATAGTGCCTGCTTTCAGAATTCTGGGAATGTAAGAGAGGACTGGTCCACTTGGGCACTAGGTCCAGAACACACATGCTGTCAGAGGGAAACAGTGTTAGGTTGAGGGCCAGAAGGCAGTGTGGGCCAGGTGCCATCCATCGTCCTTGTCCTCAGAGAGGCAGCCTTGGGCTCCCCCACCTGACAGGCCCTGTGAGGCTCCCCAGCTCCCCTCTGTCCCGGCACATCCCGAGCCCTGGCTCCCAGGACCGGATCAGGAGTTTGGGATGCCGCTTGCCAGCTGGCACCGCCTCCTTCTCCAGGCTGTTCTCTGGGCTTCTGGTTTCTCCTGCACTGACCTTGCAGCTTCTCCTTCCCCTGGGGCAGAGGCTGCTGCCAGCTGAGAAAGAAAGGTAGTCCATCTGTGTGTTTGAGAATGAGCAGAGATGCTGGGAGGATCGGGGAGGAAGGCTGGGGGCCTCTCGGTCCTTTGAATGGACCTGACTTGTCTTGTAGATGCGGCACAAACTATTGGACCTCTGTCTTACTAGAGCCATCTTGGGGTGGGTCCCCGGAGAGATGAGGAAAGAGGACTAGGACCAGGTAAAAGCAGGTACATGGCTCACACCTGCAATCCCAGCACTTCAGAGGCTGATGCTGGAGGATTGCTATGAGTGTGAGGCCAGCCTGGGCTACAGAGCAAGAGCCTGTTTCATACAATAACAACAACAGCAGCAGTCAGAGGCAAGTTTAATCCCAACTGAATGGTACCTGTAGGCTGGCCAGCTCTGGGGTCTTTTGCATGTTTGGTGATCTCTCTGAACCCCAGTTTCCCATCTGTATGGACATATTTTCCTGTTTATGCTGTCTGGCTTATGAAAGGTGCTTATCCAGTTTTTGTAGTTGCCCCCTCTCCTTTCTACCTGTGTTTTCACTGTTTAGTTCCCATAGCTATGGCTCCTCCCCTCTCTGCTTCCTTCTGCCTTTTCCCAAAGCCCAGCTTCCGTGGAGACCTGGAGGGCTATGGTGATGTAAACGTAGCACCTGGCCCTATGACTTTGGCCAGAACAGGAGACTGACACAAAATACTGAGGTGCTCTTGTGATTCTATCCAGGCCTCTTATCTCTCATATATGCCAACTGCCTTAAGTCAGGCCAAAAAAAAAAAAAGAAAGAAAGAAAGAAAGAAAAGCATGTTTGTCCAGGGAAGGCCAGTAGGGCATTTGCAAGGACTCAGCTTGTCACTCTGTCACTATGGAAGCTTCATTCCACAGCACCTCAACCTGTGCAAAAGGTTGAACCATCCTGTATGGGTCTTGAGGGCTCTGGTCTGGATCCAGTAAGATCAGACTGAGAGCGTTTGATTTTATGACTGGCACATGGGAATATTATATTCACTCGATAATATATATATATGATATATATAGCCATAAGCAGTGGCTAAAAGGCATCAGGTACTGCCCTAAGCATCATGTAAAATGAAGTCACTTTATTTTTGTAACAAGACTGGACTGAGGCATCACTGCAGGACAAATTTTAGAGGAAAGTGGGTGTAGGCAGGTTAAATAATTGTTAGGTTATTAAGGAGTTGAGCTGGGATTCACACTCAGGCACTGGCTGCACAGTCTTTTGTTTGTTGTTGTTTCAGGGGAGAGGGTTTCAAATAGCGATTCTCTCTGGCTCTCTCTGGCTCTCACTGTGTAGACCAGGCGGCCTCAAACTCAGAGATCCACCTACCTCTGCCTCTGGACTTTGGGTATCAAAGGCCTGTACCACCACCCTAGACTTGTTTGTTGTTGTTTTAAAAGGATTAACTTATTTCTATTTTATGAGTATTTTTTGTATGTATGTATTTTGCCGTAGGCATGCCTAGTGCTCTTGGAGGCCAGAAGAGGGCATCAGATCCTCTGGAACTGAAGTTAGAGGTGGTTATGAGCTACCATGTGGATGCTGGGAACAGAACCCTGGTCCTCTGTAAGAGCAGCCAGTGATCTTGACCTGTTGTTTTCTGAGACATGGGCTTGCTATGTAGTCCTTATGTACCCAGGCTGGCCTTGAACTTGTGGCAATCCTCCCGATTTAGCCTCTCAGGTACTAGGATTACTGCTGTGTGCTACCACATGACTTTTTTTCCCTTCCTGTGTTGGGGATGGGACCCAGCATACTGAACAGTTTACGGCTGAGCCACATGCCAGCTCCAGAGTCTATTCCTCTTCTGTTACATTCACCTGTGTGTGTGTGTGCGTGCATGCGCACAAACATGGTGGAGGTCAGAGGACAACTTGCAGGAGTTGATTCTCTCCTTCTACCATGTGGGTCCCAGGGACTATCTTCAGATCACTGGGTTGGGACAGGGGTGTTTGCACACTGAACCATGTTGCCTGCCCCCCACAGTCTAGTCTTAGGTATGTGCAGCCACTATCAGTTGTGATTTTTGCATGAAGTCCAGGAGACATGGGAAGAAGCTGAATGATGGCTGAGAGAAGGTAGGCACGCCTCTTCCATACCAGCCATTGACTGGAGGAGTACCTGCTGCTGGCCCTGGCTAGGGTTCTCCTGCCGCCCATTAGCCTGTGCTCATGACTGTGACCAGCTCTGGTTGTGAGGTGGACTGCTCCACTCTCGGCACCGTGGACCTCCCTGCTGATTCATGCCATTTCTCTGATGCTCCTAGTCGCAGAATGCTCTGGTTTCACCAACTGGCTGAGGACTTTTCCCCTGGCAAAGGTCCTGCTTACAGAACAAGCTCCCTGCACACTGAGTTCTGGCCCAGAAGCCAGATTGTTCGGGAGGGAGGGGACTACCACATTTTCCCAAGGAACGTGTGGCCGAATCTTGCCAGGCAGGAAATGTTTGATGACCTAGCTATGTTACTTCCACATCATAACCTCCAGACCCGTGTCTGATCCTTCCTTGTTCCATCTGTCCTTCCCAGGCACAGGCATTTGGAAGATGCTCATAGTGGCAATGTGCTTGGCCCTTATGGGCTGCCTACAGGCACAGGAATTCAAGGGACACGTGTCCATAGTCCTGCTGGGAGCAACCGGGGACCTAGCTAAGAAGTACCTGTGGCAGGGACTGTTTCAGCTCTACCTGGATGAGGCTGGGAAGGGCCACAGTTTCAGCTTCCATGGGGCTGCCCTGATGGCCCTGCAGCAAGGCCAGAAACTCATAGACAAAGCCTTGGAATCCCTCTCCTGCCCCAAGGACTTGGTACCCAGCCAATGTGACGAACTCAAGGGCCAGTTTCTACAGCTGAGCCAATACCGCAAGCTGAAGACAGCCGAGGACTATCAGACTCTGAACAAGGACATCGAGACCCAGGTCCTGCAGGATGGGCTCTGGGAGGCCGGCAGGATCTTCTACTTCTCTGTGCCCCCCTTCGCCTATGCAGACATTGCCCGAAAAATTAACAGCAGCTGCCGACCACACCCAGGTGCCTGGCTGCGGGTTGTTCTTGAAAAACCCTTTGGCCATGACCACCTCTCAGCCCAACAGCTGGCTTCAGAACTTGGAAGCTTTTTCCAGGAAGAAGAGATGTACCGGGTAGACCATTACCTGGGCAAGCAGGTGAGCTGCAGCGTGGAGCATGGCTGTGCTATGTTGGCCGCCACAGAGCAGTCATCAAGAATTTACTGCTGAATGCGGAATGGAGCTAGAGAGTGTTAGGACGCCTCAGCCTCCATAGTCCTCTCAAGGGAAGACAGGAGGCTAGAAGCAGGGTTAACCCGTGAATGGCAGACCTACCCATTTCTATATCCTTGTCGTGGCTTCCCAGTGAGGGTATGCATTCTGAGTCCCCCATGTTGACCTGCCTTTTCCACAGAAGTGGTCCGGGGACTCTAGTGTCTGGATCAGGCTTCCATTTGGGAATGTTGTGGAAATTAGAATTAGCTCTTTCAATCCCTTGCCCATCTGCCTTTAAACAAACAAACAAAAAAAAAATCCTTTTCATCTTGAATTCTGTCTTGAGGCAAAAGGCTGATAACAACTTAGAACTGAATAAGGGAAGTCGGACCCTAAGTCCAAGTGATTCAGCAAAGCCTAAGAAACAGGAGCTTGAAACAATCTGCAAGATCCAGGTCAATGGCCAGTTCAGTGTGCACAGGCCTCAGAACTCCGGGCTTAAGCCCTCGCACTGCCAACAGAGAGTGCGTTGTGCCTGTTCTCCTTGGTACCCAGACTGCTGAGCTGGGCCACATACTAGGGAGTTGATCACCTGGGCAACTCCAACTTTTTGTATTTGTCAGGTTCTAGTCTCAAACTGTCCCTGGACCAGGACCAGTCTTTCTAAGGGTTTGTTGGCCTGGAAATGAAAAGGAATAATATTAAATGCGTGCAGTTTGAAGTTTCTCATGTTGCAATTTTGTCAACAAATTATCTTATTAAAAGTTGATAGTCTTAAAAGATAGGATTCATTTTTTTTCTTTCTTTTCTTTCCTTTTTTCTTCTGTACTACAGATTGGACCTGGGGTCTTAAGCATGTAGGCAGACACTCTACATTGAGTTACAGCCATGTTCTTTCTTAGCTGGAAACTGTGTAGGGCACTTAGTCTTGAGTACCTCCAGTGAGCTGTGAGACGTGAGGTCTAGGAGCTGTTGTCCAGAGAGGGATTTCCCCTTTAAGTGGAGAGGTCTGGAGCTTGAGAGATAGGGTCCTTCCTTCACCCAGGAAGAACCTGAGGTGACCTGTCTTCTTCCATGACAGGCCGTGGCTCAGATCCTGCCCTTCCGAGATCAGAACCGCAAGGCCTTGGATGGCCTCTGGAACCGGCACCACGTGGAGCGGGTGGAAATCATCTTGAAGGAGACCGTGGATGCAGAAGGTGCGTGAGAGCTCTGCCACCCCATGGCTCCCCAGCCTTGCCTGCCTGCTATTTGGGGGCACTCCAGGCCCTGCAGCCTGGAGTGTCAGCCAGGCTTTTGCACCGTGGCCAGCTCAGCTTGGAGGGGGGAATCTCTATTGGTATGTAGCTTCCCTCCAGGTCTCCTGCTGCTGTGTGCTGCTCCCTGTACTGGCCAACCTGCAGGGTGCCTGGTGGCAAAGCCCAAGTTGTCATCGATACCATAGGGGCATCTGGACCAGTGACGTGCACCTGGTACAGGCACCTGGAACAGCTGACAAGCAGTACTGGAGGTCACCGAGTACTACTGGGTGACATGTTTTTATGTGTGTGTTTGAGATATCATATAGCCTAGGCTGGCTCAAAATCACTGCATAGCCAGGGACGACCTTGAACTTCTGATCCTCCTGCCTCTATTTTCCTAGTATTGGGATTCTAGGTGTGTGCTCCCGCCCCCAGCTAATGTGGGTTTTATGGTAGTGCAATCGGGACTGTTGCGGCTGTGAGGCTTTGTGCTTGCATGGGTGCTGCCACTATCCGGAAGGGGGCAGCTCTCCTGTGCTCTCCTCCCTCCTGAGTGATCTCTAGCACCCTTGCTGTTTCTGGGAGGCCTCTGCTGGCCGATCCCTCCTGAAGCCACAGACTTTGTTGCTCTCTGTGGGGCTGCTCCGATCCTGTGCTGGCCTCGCCACCTCGTTCATGTGATTATAGATGCCAGGAGGGCCGCCATCTTACAAAGTACTGTATGAATGACCTTGTCAGTCCAGGGTTGGGAGACATAGTTAGGTTTGTATCTGCCTCCAGCTTGGTATCTTCAGGGTATCCCTTTTGCATCTCTGGCGAGAGTTGGTTTTATGGGTGATGCTGAATAAGGTTACTTTGAGCTCTGGCATTCTGCAACGTTAGTACAAAATTTTTAGACGTACGTGTGCACACGTGTGTCGTGTGATCTTGTGGAGGTCAGAAGACAATCTCTAGGGTCAGTTCTCTCCCACCACGTGGCTATAGAACTCAGGTCATCGGGCTTGGTGGCAGCACGCTTACACACCAAGCCATCTTTCCGGTCCTGTTGCCACACTTGAAACTATTTTTTAGATTTATTTCGTTGTTGTATGTGTATTCATGTTGCCTGAGTGTGTATGTGCACCGCATGCACACCTAGTACTGAGGAAGGTCTACAGAGGGCACCGGATCCCAGGGACTGGAGTTACTGACAGCTGTGAGTCCCTATGTGGTGCTGGGAACAGAGAAGTAAGTGCTTTTCACTGCTGAGTAATCTCACAGACCCCAGTTATTTCAGATTTAGGTCACTACGTTTGCAACACTGGTTCTGTCGTCATCATCATCACCACCATATCATAATAATTTAAAGAGCTAGCTGTTACTATGTCCCCAGTAGCCTTCTCTAAAGAGAGTGGTATGGTGTACCCGCCTGCGGGACTAGTAATTCGTGGGGTCTCCAAAGAGGACCAGGCCTGAAAGAAAAACGGGCGAGAGAGAAGAACGGACTCAAGCAAATGTGCACTTGTCAAGAGTCAAATTTTATTGAACCGGAGCAGGCTTTTAAGGCCAACCTTAGATAGGGGCGGGGCGAGGGAGGAGCACAGTGTAGAACACTCAGGGAGGGGTAGGTTGGAAAGTCCTACTCTAGAGACATCTCCCCCTTCTCTGTATACAAGAACAGGGATAGGGAGGTTACTGTGACCCGCTAATGGTGTCCCAAAGAAGGGCTCATTTTGGCAGCCAATTATTTTTGTTTAAGAGTAAAATTTTGGATCCAAAGGAGCAAACAGTCACCAGAGAGACGAGCGTTCCCCAGAGTAGGTCAAGTGTTGTCACTCATAGGCCATTGGTTTTGACAAGGCTATTTAAATTGACCATAGTACAAGGGGCACAAACGGGGTCTGAGCCTGTTAGAAGGGCAGTGCTGGACCCTTACCCGTCATTGGATCGGCCTCCTCCCGGCGAGGTCGTCCTGTCTTAGGCGGGCCGAGACTTATCCACCCGTTCCATCTCTGACTTACCAGACCACTCACTTTGTGGAAATGTAACGCATCTTGCTCTCAATAAGACCATCAAAGCTCCATAAGGATCCTGCAAGGAATATGTTTAGTAGCCAAATAGTATATGAGGGGTCACGGAAACCTGAGTTATTATTTGGAGGGGCGGGACCAGAATTTCCACCCCCGGGTTGATTTTTGTAGGGAGGTGAAGTCTAAGGGTTGAGATGTGGGGTTGTTTTGGTCCTTTGGCAGGTCAGCGGTAGGCTCGTCTTCCGTGGCGAGGCGATGGTAATGGACTCCCACTGGCTTGATTGCATAATCCACCTGACTCTTAACAAAGCTTGTCAATCGATTAAAGGCCCAGGGGCCAAAAGAGAGAAGCAAAAGGATACCTACAAAAGGTCCTAGCAGACTGGGAAGCAGAGTGATTAGCCATGGGGATGTGGGAAACCAATTTTGATACCAGGACTCTTGTTTCTCTCTGTTCCATTTTCGTTCCTCCAAACTGGAGCGAACCTTATCGATACTGCTTTGCACTACACCTGTTTTGTCAGTGTAAAAGCAGCATTCTTTCTTGAGCGCAGCACAGAGTCCACCTTCCTGGAGAAAAACCAAATCTAGACCGCGCCTGTTTTGTAAAACTACCTCAGATAAGGACACCATAGAATCTTTTAGGTCCTGTAAGCCTTTTTGCAAATCTTGTAGGTCTTTGTCCACTGCTAGGGAGAGTTGATTAAATTGTTGCTGGGAGGTAATTAGGGAGGCTATGCCTGTACCAGCTCCAGCGGCTCCAAGCCCTAGAATTACAGTTAGAGTAATGGCAGTTAAGGGCTCACATTTAACTCAAGATGGACGTACCCCTTTTTCCCCAAACCGAAGGAACTCATCCTTAGAATGTATAGTCAGCCTTGGGAAAAGCCGTACAAGGACGCAGTAATCTCTATGGACTAAAAAGGTGGAGCTTACAAGATTAGGAGTAAGACCAGTGGAGCAGGCAAAATAAGTGCCAAAAGGTGCAGCAATATATGTAAAGCTTGAATTTACAAGAGTAATATTGCAAGTTTCTTGTAAAGCCACCGGGGGAAGCATAGAAGGTCCCAATAGGCACGTTCCAATTCCGGACACCTGTGTGACTGTAAGGCTGACTCCCTCTGGGTGCTGCCACCGTAAGGCATTAGAATTATTAGTTGTAATTACTTCTAAGGATAAGGCTATGCCCTCGTAGAAGGGTGGCCGTGGTGAGTAACACACCCAGCATTCCTGAAAATCAGTGGCGTTAATTTGATGTAAGACCTCTTCGTTGAAGGGCAGAAGCAATGTAATTGCCTTTGGCAGGGTTACTAAGTGACTAGAAATCACAGGATGGCCCACCAAGATGTGTTAATAATGGTAATTTGGAAAGTTCCTCAGAAGAGTTACTTAGGAAGCCCTGAGGGAGATTAGGATTTAAGGTATTTCAGGAAGATGATCTTATCAAAAGCTCCAGGTCAGCCAGGAATGCACTATTGTATCCGGGCAGTAGTCCGGTCAAGCCAGATGCCAAAATTTAGGGGGCAGCAAGGTGCCAGAAGGTCCCCCTTTATTTTATTTTTACAAGGCCATAATCCCAAGGGAACCGTGCCTGTCTTAGGTGGGAATCTGGGGTCTTCAACCCTTGCTAAGCTCGTCATTGGATACATCAGCAGCGATTGGCTGAGCTTCTGTCTTAGGTGGCAAAAAAAGGGGGGAACAGAAGACCACTGTGGATTCTCTTACCTGTCACTGGCTGACTGGTTCAGCTCACTGGGATGATTAGCATTAGGCCTATTCATAGTCTTGCCTGACCATCTGCAGCCTTTGATAGTGCACCTGGATGGGCTGTACCTTTAGGGCATCAATCTACTGTTTAATAAAAGCCATAATTGTATTGAAAAGAACAGGTCCTATTGAAAGAATTATCAATAAGATGAGCAGGGGACCAAGGAAAGGAAGGAGATAGGGAAGGAGCCCATTCCTGTGCTGCTTAAGTCTACCATGAACATATATCAGCTGGAGGCAAAGGATCACAGTCCATGGAAACAGTTGTTTTGGTTTTTTTTCCCATCATTTCTGTAAAGAGATATAAAAGGAATATGTTCTCAGGGTAATTCTTTTACCCTGGACTGATGAGTGTTATTATTATTATCTATATGCTTTACTAATCGTTCTGGCAACCATCTGGCTGCATCTATCTCTTTAGAATTGATGCAAACTGCTTCTCTGCCCCGTATCAGGACAGGATCTGGACCATGCCATTTGTTGTCCAAAGGATCTTTCCATAGGACAGTAGCAAACTGTCTTTCTGTATCCATAGGCCAGAAACATTCCACAGCTGAATGTCCATATTTTCGAGTTTCAGGCCCTTGTTAATTAAAGTGTTAATTAAAGCCTCATAGTACTTTTCCAGAGTACGGAAGAATGTAACCGCCCCGGACCCTGGTCCTCTGCTTGGGCAGAGATAAGGAAGTGAGCAAGCAAAGACTTCCACTCTGCAAAGAAGAATGACCAGACCTACGCTTGAGAGATAACACCTAGCAATCAACCCAAATGGACTCAATTCTTCTCTTGAAGAGCCCCTGACCTTCTCTCAGGCTCGCTCCTCAGAGAAGACACAGGTTGAAGTTAATTGCTCTTCCATCTTTGGCTGTAGCCACATTCCCACTAGCAGGAGATTCTGAACGTGAATTAAAGATCAGATATTCCTCAGGTGTCTGGCCATGACTGACCAGACCTGAAAGTCAGCTACCTAATCCCTCATCCAATTATGAGTAGCCAGGACGGCAACCCCTGAACTTCCCTGTGCCTCATCTCCTAACAACCTGAGGCTTATGTCTCTGGGGGCCCACTCTTAAAATTTTGAAAACATATTTCCAACATAGCCAGGGCTATTATCTGTTTTACGTTGTGTTGGAAGTTTTAATATAGCAATTGCTGACAGCGTATGAGCAATAACATTTTTTC